TGCGCAAGGACTTTTAAGTATGTATGGTTCTCTGACCAAAACTTGCAAGACGTCTTGTCAGAATAAGGCGTATATAGTTCCAAAGCTGGGACCCTTGTGCCTTCTTTTAGCTCCTGTATGCTGCAGGGTACCTTGAAGAAACTCCGGGGGCTACTAGTTCCCTCTCCCAGAACATGTGCCCTCACCTGAGAGATCATTAAACAAGGGCGGGCTACTATGTAAGGCCTGTCAGGCCCTAATAGCTGGGCCGTGGGAGGGGTGGGGCGTTTGACAGCCGTGCAGTGCCTTAAAACCGAGACCCTCCCGATGTTCTCTTTGGAAGAGCTGTAGCGAAACTATCTTACAGTTTTTGCGCGCGCCATGGTACAATCCCTCTTGAATCAGCCGAGGTGATCCGCAGCGTACCCGCTTCTGGTCTACCCGGGCCAAATTCAGCTGTTAGTTCCTGGCAATTTTCAACTCGTCAACTAGGGACGAGCTCAATGTACAGTCGGCGTCAGGAATCGGATCGCCTGCCAAGTCAGAAGCCTTAAGCCCGACTCCGAATCCTTAAGAGTCCTCCCCCCAACATCTGGAATTCTTTTCTGTTTCAGTTAGAGCGGATGAGAAATCCCAGCCACCAGTGAATGGCTTGGTGCTCGACGGGCCTTTCTATTTGGTTTCTCGTTACAACACTGGCACATGCTTGAGTAGGAATGGGAACATTGATGAATTTGAGGGTACGCTTCTGCCAGCAGAGGAAACTACGAGGCGCTGTCTCCCCAACGCGCGGGCAGTTGTCAAGATGGGGGTGTCCCAAATTTTGGGGGTTCTTTTGTGGTGGTCCCATAATAAGGATTATAGTATGATGGGTCCATATTGCTAAACCATAAACCCTACTTAAGGAAACTGCCAGATTGATACCAGAGAGCGGCTCTATCTCACTGCTCCAAGCAGCTACTTAGGTAGCAAGAAAGCCCCTAGGGTTTCGGGTTTAGGGTTTTAGTGTTTTAAGGATTAGTGTTTAGGGCTTTCAACAGTAAACGCTGAGTCTGTTGTAGGTACAACAGGAATTATGTAGGGGCTGACAGTAGTTTGCTACGCAGATAGCTGGCTTTCTGGGACGCTGCAAGTTCCAAGGAGATGAGTCTTAACCTCGCTGGTTTAGTAATTCTACTTCTTGCCCTGTTACTCTTGGAAAGATAGGAGCGCACCAAGGCTCTCTATATGTTTAGCGCTTTCCGCGCCCAAGATTGTTCTGAGTCCCTCCAGAAGGAAACATTCAACACACAAAACCCTAGACCCCAATACAGTATACATGCCTACATTTGAACATCGCTGCAGTCTTCGCGATTGACATGTGATTCCGAACATAATTCCATTTGAGAGAGGGTCAGGACACGCCGGGAACACGGAGCGGGTTGTCGATGCCCAGCACCATGTCGAGCATCTTCCACCTTTGAGAGGAATTTTGGAGAGAAGCGGCGGCTCCCGCCAGCCGTATCCCGCTCTTGCTATTATATAATCAAATTTGACGAAAACCGTACAAAGTTCGCACGAAAAATCGCACACCATGCCACGATCCTCATTTCCCATACGGTGGCTCCCAACTCATGAAGACCGGAAAAATCATCACATCACCCCGCCCACCAATTGAACATTAAGACATCTTACTAATCAATCATCAAGCTATCCTGTTCACATCATCCCATCAAGCTAGTAAATCAAGCATCAAGCCATCCTGTAGGCAACCGCTTCCACAGAAAAAAACCCTGGGACAACGCTTTCGGAAAAAATTGCAGATGTGGGACGGGGAACAAAAAACAGGGATTGGGTGCAGGAATATTTGTGCACAGTTATCATACTTGTCACGAGTTTGAGTTCGCAATTTCAAAGAACTTTGCGCATATATTCGCGACTTGAGAAGTGTTAGCCGTTGATCCATGATGAGATACTTTCGTTGCCTTGCAACAGCTTGGGGCCCGTCTTGGAGCTCCAAATACATACCACAACATGGATTTTCATAAAGCATTTTTCAACCGCCTTGCCACTTCGGTTGCATTCGGGTGCCATCCTTGTCTCATTGCACGTCTTGGCTTGATGTGTGGCGCGTTGTGGCGCCTCGTTTGTGCAGTGCGAAGGGTGGCCACCTTAGTAACGTTAATACGCACTTTGGCAAATTATCATTTACAGATCTGCCCAACATTTGGTTTTGAATTTGCAATTCGCCCAAGTGGTACATATATTTGCGATGTGAAGATTTATCGATTATTCATCAGAGATCGCATGTGTTGTCATATGGGTCAATAGCGTCTGCCTTGGACCTGAGAAGTCGTGCAAGGCTCTTCCCGAGATTTTGTTTGGAGAGTGGATGGCCGCGGATAGCTTACCGACACTGGCAGATTCGGGCAGTCACCGACGCGCATCCCAGATCAATGCATCTGCTGTCACCACGCAGAATGGAGTTTGAGGTTGTATGGTTGGTCCATAAAAGGCCGGTGGTGTCGTGTGGATTACCCGTTTCGCCAAAAAAAGAGCGAATGCTTACCTTCAATGTTTGATTCTTGCTGGTCATGCTGAGCAGGGGCCTCTGCATGCGTCGCGTAGGTCACGAGTGGTTTTTTTGCTGCATGTGTAGCACCGGTATACTGCAGTGTGTTTTGCAATCCAAGTTTGACTACAAACACATTCAATTTTGCCCTCTTTGCCGCATCGTCGCTTCACAGTCGGCTCACAAGCTACATGGTGCGGGGCTTCGCGACGCAACGCACGCAGGTTCAAATGATTCGTGAGGCTCCCCAAGGTTCGCTTACACGTGGGTTGAAGGAAACAAACGGCTTTGATTTTAGCAGTTGTGGGGTTGTGCCATCACGAGTATTGATGTGAATATCCTTCCCTCATATGAGTGCACAGTTCGTGTTGGCAAAGAGATACCGCTTCTCCTTCGGTGACGGTAGTTGTTCGCTCAACCATTCCGTGTTTGGGTTTAGCAACGCAGTCATGTTTTCATGTTAATTTGCCATGACAGCATGATGCTACCAATCGACGTGCTATTTGGGTTTAGTTGTGGACATGGACGTGTGATGGTTATTTGCAGTTTTTTTTTGCATTGCTCTCCTCTTCGCCGCGCGTCAACGTTGTAAATCCACACTCCACAATATTTGCGTCCACGTGGATCGAAGGAAGCTGCCTCCATGTCAGAGGGTTTATGGGTTGTGAAATCATCACATGTACTTTCATATTTATATGCACACATAGGTTTGTTTGGCCCTAAACCTAACCCTAAACCCTAACGCTAAACTGGCGTGAAGGATGACCCAATTTCAAAGTTTAGGAAGCTTGGTTAGGTCCAATGCCCCATTCATGTGAGCAGAGTTTATCAATGTCTTTTTCAGATTGGCATACTTGCTTTACCCGACAAAATTATGCGGGTTGATTTTTGAGCAATGTGTTCCCAACAAAATGTGAAGGCCATGAAAGTGTCCGTGCAAGAGCAAGTTGCTTCTGCAAAATTGAACTTTTCAAGTGGTTGGGGGGAACGGCATTTTGGCAGTTGGGAATCTTTTTTGCGGTCCAGCATAGGTGTGTTTGTTTTGCGCTTGTGTTGCAAGGATCACCTGATTGTTGGAAGTGCGAGGGAGATTCAAGGATTCAGGATGCGCCTTGCAAATCAAACGCATTGGGTTCAAAATCGCCTGATTGACATGAAGACTGCCGGCCCGGCACGCGTGAGTCTTTGATGCTTGGGGAGCAGCTTGCTGTTAAACGTCTTGGCTTCGGATCTTTCGTCATGATCACTTCCAGAGCGTCTAAATGACTGACATTCTCTGCGGACAATTCGTGGGGATCAGCCTGGGTTTCATGCTGGGATGTTGTTTAAGGCGGAATGTTTGCTTTGACCTTGTGTGTTCCGCATTTTCGGGCTAAGCTACTCAGAGAGCCCCTCCAACCAGCACGGGACGGTGCAATAGGAAATCATGGCTGAAGAGGAGGACATCTTGGGTTACAAGTGAGAACAATGCAGAATTGTGTACAAACATGTAAAGATTTCGGCAAGGCGAAAGAATCGGCAGCTTCTGCAATTAAACTAACTCTTAAACGACTACCCTCAGGACTTCTACGTGCGCTACTACGTGGGTCACAAGGGCAAGTTCGGGCATGAGTTTCTGGAGTTTGAGTTCCGCCCCGACGGACGGCTCCGGTATGCCAACAATTCCAACTACAAGAACGATGTGATGATCCGAAAGGAGGCACATGTCACGCAGGCAGTCATGAAGGAGCTCAGGAAGATGATCGAGGATTCTGAGATCCTCAAGGAAGACGACAACCATTGGCCAGCGCCGGATCGCATCGGCCGGCAAGAGCTGGAGGTTGTGTGTGGGAAGGAGCACATTTCCTTCACCACTTCCAAGATTGGATCTCTAGCAGATGTCCAGGCTTCCAAGGATCCAGAAGGTCTGCGAGTTTTCTACTACCTGGTGCAGGATCTGAAATGCTTTGTGTTCAGCCTCATCGGCCTTCACTTCAGGATCAAGCCGGTTTGAGGGCTTGGCAACAGACCATGCCAATGCACCTTGCGCGAGCTAGCTTCGACTATCAACACATTTTGCAGTAGTGCTCAATGGTTATGCAAGATAAAGCCATGCTGAAATACATAGCTGACCTAATGTGCACATATAACCCCTTGAAGAGTAGGTTGGGCAAGCTATGTCCCAACTTGTTATGAAGACCAACAGCAGACGCGGGGTCATGCAAACAAAAAAGCAGTGCTCCGGCAGGTCAACTGCAGTGCTTGAGGATGAGAGTTAAGGAGAGTGGAGCTTCCTACAAGGGTGTTGTTGAACGTTCTTGCTTTGGAAAGTTCATGCGAGCTTCATGCTTCGGCAGAGTCCTGCGTCGTAGCGTTATGGCTCTGTTCGAACCAGCAGTCACAAGAATAAAGGCAGGTAGTGCATCGCATTGGACATTGCGCCTCCCTCCATTTGATGCAGTCCCCTTGATATTTCACTGATCAGAGAGCCATGGAGCAGGTGAAGTTGCCGCAGTGTGTGCAGTGTGACGGGGAAGGCCGTCCTTTAACACGGCAATCCGATTCCCCCAGCTTGCATTCTCACAGGTTCCTTCAAGATACTGCCCTGAAGCTCTCCGCTGATTCTCAGCGTCATGAATCTTTGTGTGCCACTGATCGATCGCAAATTTCAACCCCACCGACGGTCACACCTCCCAAGAGCCGAATGTCATCATCAACACAGCAGCGGGAAGATGAGAGACGCCGGGAGGCACAGTGGTCGCCTGTTAGTTTTACTGAGTGCAGGATTACTTTATATAGCACCAACTGGAAGAGGACAACCTGATTGTGATGTGCTTATTCGGCTGCCAACTGTCATGCCCTAACAGGCCTAACAAGCCTCGCGACCCACTAAACCTAAATTTACCCCAACACAGTTTCCATTTGATTTGCATCATTTGGGGTAATATCCTAAAGTCCTAAACCCTTACATAGCCTGATGAAAGCCTTGTTTCAGCCGTATATCATCCTTATGGCCCACTCTGACGAGGGGCCCTTCTCATCCTCATCCATTTATAATAACCCTAAAGCCTCAGCCCTTACCGCGCTACCAAGGACTCATGAGGAGCAGCTTCCTTGCTGAAGCGGCAGATTGCATTCGGGCGTTGCTGGGTTGCTGTTAAGGA